GCTTCATTGGAGCTCATACGCGCTCTTAACTCCTTTTCAAATTGTTGATTTGCTCCTTTTTTTCGTCATGGGTGATGGACGTCTCGTCTCCCTTTAAGCAACGATTTAGAGCGTCGAGGTCACTATTTTTTCTTTATGGTTCATCGTGCGTGGTCGCATGTTCCGTCTCCTCTTAGGCAGCTATTAAAAAAATCGAGTTTGCTCTTTTTTTTCCTGTTTTAGGTGCCTTGATTGGAGAATCTTGGATTTTTAAGGTTTCTCTCTTTTGTCATCCATGGCTTCTTTAGCTGTTGTTTCTTCTAACCTCTCTTTTATCACCATTACGTTTGACTCGTTCATATATGGTTTTTTCTCCCATGAGAAAGATTGTTTTTGTTAGTTTATTTATAGTCGTGGTGTGGCTCTTCAACAATGACCTCTTTATCCACGAAATGTCAATAATGCATTCCTCAACGACGATTTGCAAGAGGTTTATATGGAGCAACCTCCCAAATTTGTTGCTTAGGATGAGTCTTCTGGGTTGATATTTTGTCTTTTATGTTATCTTAACAAATCATTAGTAATTTAGTGTCATTCGAGTGCAGAAGCATATATTTTCATTAAGTTTTTATGGATTATATGAGTAACAAGCTTGGTACATACAATTTGTATACACTAGTTTGAGGGGGGTGTTAGATATATTATCTTGATTTTATACTTATCATTTATCTTTAATTAATTTGTCATTATTTCTTATTTGTATTTTCGGCTTAGTCCATATTTCTTCTAATATAAATAAAAGATTCTATGTGTATATTCAACATAAGGAAGATGAATTTTATACATAATTTTCACTATATTCAACAACACTAAAAAGCAATATGTTGTGAATAGTCACAAGTAAAAATTTGTTGTATCAATAAATGAAAACTACAAGACTTCAAACCAATTAACTTTATATGTTACAAGGACACAAGTCTTTTAACATTAGACTTCACACTAAGTAAACACTTATAAAACTTTTTTTTTTCTTTTTCAGATAGAGCATGACAAGTTGAGAACAAGTATGCACCTTTTTCATTTCAAGATATTGATTCAACTTCATTTCCCTAACTTCAATTAAATGTTTTTTTAATCCACAATTAGGTGGCTATGGGGAAGGAACTTTTTATAATTGTTGTTGTGCAAGGTCTTTTGCTCGTCCTACAATTGCATATAACTAATGTTTTACATATATGACCTACATAATGACCCTTGATATTATAATTGCTAAAGTTACATATGTTAGCAGTCGTTTATGGTATAAAGTAACATTGCATACAACCTAAAATTATCTTCACAACATGCATCAAACACATTCACTTTTTGTTTCTTGCAACATGTTTAAATTGTAAATCAAGGGACTCATGATACATATATGTCCTTTCCTGGTTATTGCGGACTTGAAATCATCATACAAACGTAACACATTTTCTGTCTATGTATAACCATGGAGAAAAATTCTAAATGACCAACAAAATTATCATGAACTATGTTTAATACTTTAATTCTGATAAAAATTCTTCCCATCTTTAATTAATGCCCTATTTTTTTTTTTCATTAATCTTTTCCAAATTTTGAAAATATATTCTATGAATCATCTTCTATGGTGGAGAATTAGCTAAATTTCAAAGAAGTTCATAAAATTTTCTACCATATCCATGTCATGTCAAGTTTTTTACATCTCTTTATGATAAGCAATCTTTTAAACTTAGGTATTATTGCTAAGAATCGTATCATCTTAGCAGGGAAACCTTCTATTTCTTCTTGATTTCTGTTATCATCATGTTTTTTTTATACATATTAGACTTCTAAGTAGTATAAACAAGAGCTCATACAAATTGTTCTTCCACCTTTAAATGATTGTCCATGTTTTTGTCAATATTTTCTATTTGCGACATAGTTGGGGTGCCTAATGTTTTAACATGACATGTCTATATTGTGTAATTTTTCGTAACAAAAAAATATCATGTATATTTCGATCTTCCTAGCACATCTAATTTAGAAAATGAACACATGTAAAACAATGTCTTTTTTTTAATTGGCGGTGAAACCCTATCCATTCTGAAAAACATTTTTCATAATTTGTACAAATTAAATCTATTATTCTAAATTTGATAAATTTGAATAACATTTTGTATTGAACTCCAAAATGAAAATAACAACAAACAATATACCATAATCAAGTATGCAACTAAATAACAAAACAAAATAATTTGACCAAAATTCCACCAAATTTTAGGTTAAGCTTAATTTATATATATATATATATATATGTATATGTATATACATACATACATACATGTATGTACATACATACATGTATGTACATACATACATATATACATACATATATGTACATACATACATATATATATATATATATATATATATGTATGTATATTAACAAACTATAAAAATAATTTTCATAAATTATCCAGGTAAACAATTCAATATTTGATTCAAATTGCTAATTTGATTATTTATACTAAATTTCAAAAAGAGAAACTAATATTCACTCAATATATATGTAAATATAAATAAAATTATTAGAACAAAAACAAATCACATCATTCGAATATACATATATTTTAAACTTCGTCAAGTCATTTTAAACGAATTGTAATATTCTACTCAAATGGTAATATGCAAACTACATTTTTCAATAATTTATTATTTTTATATTTTACATGTCTATGGATAAATACATAATTATTACGTATATATAACTTTCAAACAAACTTATTCTGTAAACGACAGTTTTCAATAATTTGTTATTTTTTATATTTTATAAGTCATTCCTAGGATATATACATGATTTATTACCTCCTCCTCGTTAAAAAGTCAATAATATCTAAAGTCTAGATTCTTTTGAAAAAAAAAAGTTATTGATTTTGTCACTACACTCGTTATTGTCATGATGATGCTATCTATTGTCATTGTTGATGACGTTGTTGTCTATTGTTGCAGGTTGCAGTCTATTGTTCTTATTGTTGGAGTTTTAGTTTTGATCGGTGACCACATTTTAATCGTCGGGGTCATCCTATAAATTTTGTCTTTTAACACTTGCGTGAGTACTTCAGTCGTACTCTCTTAATTTTAGTTCTGTATTAGTGTCTTTTTCATTATTGTCCACTTTTCGCTTTCTCTGTCCATTGATATTTTCTATGGGAAGAGTTTGTTTCTACGTTTTTTATGAATAAAGGAGACCATTCTTTTGAAGAACCATATCTTCCACCTTCACTATCTATTATCGGTGCGATGTCATTACTATCGTTTGCTGTGAAGGATAATATGTTTCTATGTGGTACAATCTAGTTCCTGCAGTTTATCATTGTCAGTCATTGCAGGCCACCATCCGTTACTGATACAATCTAGTCCCTACAATTTGTCGTTAGCTGTCATTGTTGGGCGTTGTCCACTGGTGATGGTAATCTTCTTTGTCAAAGTCATCATAATTGAGGTTTTGCAGTAGTCTACCACTGTCCAATTCATTTTCCACAACTGTTGTTAGTTGTTCGTCGACCTCTGTTCGACTCTTTATCAACTGAATCTCAATAATGCATTCCTCAACAATGATTTTTAAAAAGAGATTTATATGAAGTAACCTCCAATATTTGTTGTCCAAGAGAGTCTTTTGGGTTGATATTTCGTCTTATATGTCGTCTTTACATTCCTTAATAACTTGGTGACACTCTAGTATAGAAATAGATATTTTCACTAAATCTTTATTAATTATATTAGTAAAAAGTTTTGTACATATAATTTGTATGTACCAACTTAAGGGGAAGTGTTAGATAGATTATTTTATTTTATCTTTATCTTTTATTTTTAGTTAGTTTATTATTATTTCTTATTATTATTTTGGGCTTAGTCCATATTTCTTCTATTATAAATAAAATGTTTTATATGTATATTCAACACAAGAAAAATTAATCTCATATATAGTTTTCACTACTTATAACTTCCCTAAAAATTAATCTTCATAAGATTAGTATACTTTAGTTTCTATAAATTAAAATATTTAAAATACTAAATTATTGTTTAGTTCTTACAATTTTAAATTATTTGAAATATTCACTTCCTTGAACTAAAATTAGTCTGTATTTAAATAATTTTAAAGATAGAGACCTTAGATCTATTAAAACTTTAAATAACTTTTTGTTTTTTATTTTGTAAGTTAAGCCGATAAATATGTATTTTTTTTCTTATACTTTCCTTGCAATTTATATTTTATAACTTACTTCCCATAATTTCAAACTATCCAATGACTAAAGTATTTTAGTCACTCAAGACTAACATTAGTCCCTATTTTTTAATTACTTTTGGAGTTTAATTTACAAATTTAAACAACTTGTAGGTGATGTGTTTAAATTGTGTATATATGTATGATCAATTAGTTTATTTGCACACACAATTGTATTAACTATTTGGTTTTGTTTTTATCATAAATTGTTTTTATTTTAGTTTTGTGTGATTTAGTGTACATAAATGTTTTAGGAGCAAAAATTATGATTTTGGAGAGTATAAAGAGTAAACATTAAGTTGAGAATCAAATGGATTGAATGAACAACTTTATCATTTAAGAAATTAGGAGTAAACAACCCTTGATTAAATCAAAAGGTACTTGTAATACTTGCACGAATGGAAAAGAATAAGAACATATAAGACACAATACTAAGTTAATTCTCTAACACTAACGCTTTTATAATAATTAAATTTCCTCCTGTGGTTATTTTTTGAATTTTGTTAATTTTATAATTAATCATTATTATCATGATTTTTAGATATTTCAAACTTAATTATCATTAGCAAATTGATATTCAACAATTCCAATATTATTATTACCACAAGTAATAATTGGTACACTACAAAAATATATATTTTTACTAGAGGTTTTTTTTGGCGGTTTAAATAACCTACATAAAGTTTCGGCGGTTTTACCTACGCAGAAAACGTTCTATTAATTTTTTCTTAAAACATTTGGGACAGTTTCTGGATTCAACTGCTGGTAAGGGATATTAAAATCCCTAATTTCGTGGTACCTCGTTCCTCTTAGCTTGCTTTAGCTTTGGCCGCATAAGCTTCGCTTTTGAAACCCTTCTTCCCCGAAATCATTTTTCCTCGTGCATCAAATTCTTGCTCCATTAAAATCCTTCCTGTGCATCACGGTTCTTGGCCCTGCCGTCGTGCCATTGAGCTCACCGTTCGGTTTGACATTGAAATCGTTGTTCGGTTTGCCATTAAAATCCCTAATTCCTAAGGTAAGTGTGTCGCAATTATCATCCAGATCTATCTTTTATTCTCCGTTCATTGTGTTCATCATTCGCAATCTCGGTCATTTGTGTATTCGTTAATGGACCTCGCTTCTCTTCTTTGTTCATTGTCTTCTTCATTGTTTTGCATTTTCGCCATCCCTAAATTGGATTCAATTTTCAGTTCATCTTCTCCTGCAATTCGTAAATCCATCATGACCTAAACCTAAAATTTGTTTTCCATCCTCAACAACCTTTCCAGCGTGAAGGTGGAGTGAACAGTGTTAGGAGCTTGAAGGCTTTCGTTGACGAGGGATTTGACCGTGAGAAGAACCAGAACCAGGTATGAGAGCTAACCCGTGTATGTCCTTGTTTTTTTTCTTGACGTGACAAGCGAAATATTCGAATTTGTGGCTCGAAGATCGCTTCTGCTTCAACAAATGGTCTCCCTATCATGAAACAATTGATTTTGATGTCCACAGTAACCACGTTGAGTTTTTTTATCATCATTTAAAAGATGGTGAGACATACATGAACTGATTAATTAATTTCATACATTTTTGCAACTGTGGATCCTCCTGAATTGGTGACTTAATGTTTACATGTTCATCTTTGCAGAGCATTTAACTCCTTTGTTTGAAGAGATAGTAAAGTTAGAACGAGCTCTTTTCAACATTCAGTGTGAACAACATTGGCTTGAGGCTCACCCAGAACGCCAGGCAATAGGTACATTTCATATCATAATAAGGTTCTATTGGTTTAATTTCTTGGTTTCATATGTCTATAGAACATAAAATGATTGGTTTTGATTATTGGAGTTGATGCCACCATTATGTCTATAGAACATAAAAAGAATAATGTTTCATTATGTAGCTTTAAGAAAACATTATTCTTAATTGACAACATGAGAACGTACAAAGACTAAAAACATTAATCTTCTATTTTGTTTAATATTCAGAGTCTATTTTGTTCTTCACTCCTATTTCTTGTTGCCTACAATTTCAGAATACTCAAGCCAGCTGGGAGCACCAGGTGCTACCTTATGTTCTTTGCCACCTTTACTGTTGGCGGTTTGATCCAACCCTGTTGTTTGAAACCTTCTCTTGGCTTGTTTTCTTGCTTGATAATTGTATTTGCTTTCTTCATCTCTGTCAGATGTTATTTGAACCTTATCTTTTTCCCAGATAAAGTCTTGTTCTATCTATGGTCAGCTGCAGTTTTGTTTTTATATTTGTCCCAGGTGCAGTCTTCCTCCCATCTTTATCTCATTGCAGTCTAGACTCTGTATTCACTTCCTAAGTCCCATATGTAATGACACCAACACCTCGAGCATATCTCACATTATCATCTATCTAGTGTGATATTAGTCAAGGTTTTTGGTTGCGCCATCTGTGATTATTACAATTCTGTAACACCCCTTTATTGTTGCTTTTCCTCCATTTGAGCCCATTGTCATTGCTGACAATTACTTGATTCATACGTTGCTTGGGCTGTTATACGCACTCCACCTACTCTAATCACTTCAGCGATCAACTTGCACAGTGCATTTAACATGTTACTTTGACTCATTCCATGCCTTTCTTTGAACATTCTTACATGTGAAACAAATATAGATATGCATAAAGCATAAGGCCTGAAACGAAGAAATCTCTGTTGTTTCGTCCACTGCGACCATTTTCAATTCTGTGTCATTGCTCAGCTTGACCATTAACTCAACGTCCACCTCCTCCTTCTTTGTTCCAAATATTTTCCTACTGTTGTTCACTGAGCCTTTCAACTTCTCAATCGATTCACGGCTGAAACTGAAGATTCTCTCTCGAAAGGGCGAGTCAACATCGAAGGTAACCTTCATTTCTACTTAAACACAAAATTCATATTAATATGCAAGTTCATACTAAAATTCATTTCCGTTAAAGATTTTTGCGGTTTAATATATATTTTTTAATTACTCATATAGTTTTAAGCATCACTAGCTCTGTTCAAATAAAAACATCATTAGCTCTGCCTTTAGACTCTTAGAAACCTCCACCAATAACCTCCTTAATCAACAATAGACACGAGGTGCCCTCTGCATGCAGTACCTATGCCTATTTTGTCTTTGTTCCAGATATATTTGTTATGATTTAAGTGTTATAATTAGAATGGATTATTTGTTTGCTTACTTGGTCCAGTAAATTAGTTTTTATATAATTATTGGTTGTTTATTTGTTTTATGAATATATCTTGAAAACAAAAGAAACTTGATCCTGAGACATATATGGTAGGGATAGAAAGCACCTCTTTGACGACTTTCTCCTGCAACTGAAGAGGTTGCAATTCGTGTTCGGCAGGAGCTTGAGTACGTGTCTTTCTCCCTGCAATGGACCAAAAAGTTCTTGCTAATTCTGTAGCATTGTTGCCAAGGTGCACAGTAGGACATGTAAATGACAATAACAGAAGTCACTGAAAATAGCTTGTGGCAAGACCCTGCTTGAACGATTGAGGGAAATCATGTGAGTTGTCCAATGAACATGGAGGAAAAGGCCCACCACATAGCTCTCCATTTATTTGTATGTTTTTTTTTTAATATATAATCGACTAACTATTATGATATATTAGGTATATGATCAAGGAATCATGCTAAACTGTTAATGTAACAAAGATGAAGAAAATTAGATATTTTTTTCTTTAATTTTTAGTATTGAACATATTTCTATTAAATTTTATGTATGAACAATTAGTTGTGTTTGTATTGATATGCAATGTATGAAGTTTTGAGGATGCAAATATCACCTGCCACCCTTTTAGTTGTGTCTGTATTGATATGCTAGTATCTTTAAGTGCTTTCCTAAAGCTGCCAAACAAGGAATGGATCATCCTCATCAATTCCTAAGCCAGTCTCCACGTATATTTCATCTTTTGAAATATACATGTGACAGTGGAATAAATTTGAAGTTAGAGAGCCATTTTATTATTCGAAATTGACTTGATAAGGCGCATTTCAGTTTGATTCCTATTATTATATATTGGAATGTTACAACCTCTCATCCTTCTAAACCTTGTTCTATTTCAATAAAAAATATGTTACATGTCATGTTTTTTCTATCCAGCACATGACTGCATCCAATGGGATATTTCTTACATGGCAAAACATAATTCTAAAGCTCTTCACAACCGTTCATATGGACAAGGCAGCTTTACTAGAGAGTGTGATAGACCATGTCAAAGATCTAAAGAAAAAGGCCATGGATGTTAGCAGAGCTTTCACAGTTCCAACTGAAATTGATGAAGTATCAATTGACTCTGAGCAGAAATAAGAGGCAGAGGTTCTTCTTGCCTTCTCATTGCCTACAGTAATTTAATTAATATATTGCAAAATTATTTTCTTTTGCCCTAAGGGTCGTTTCATTGGGGCAATTATTTGCTTTATTTTCAATATTTATATACCGATATAGCTTTTCCATTAGGAATATGAAATCATGAAATATTAGTTATGTGTCACCGATTAAACCAAAGTTAAAGAGGGAGAAACTAAATCAAATATGTGTAAAAGGTTAAGTGCAGAAATCTGTGTGTGACCTCCTTTTGCATCAGGAATAGAAAAGATGCAAATTGATTTACTTATCATTCAATTAATAGAATGAGTGGATTAGTAAAAGGGTGAATAACGTAGTAAGAGAAAAAGAAGGAAATGATAAATGGTTTTCCAAAATTTTGCAAATACCGGCATGCAAAACCCCCGCTGATAGATTTTTGCAAAACCCCGCTAATAACGATGATTTTTGCAAAATCTCCGATAATTATTTAGTCACCCAGCTTTTCCAGAGATCTTCTAAATCGCGGGTAATGCATTTTCTGAGGTTAAAACCTCGGAAACGAAAAAAATAATCCCGAAAAAATTGTAAACTTTTTTAGTGGTACACTTCTCAAACTAATATCCTTAAAATTGACCCAAACATAAAATTTAGGTTTTTACATCAAATAAAAGACATTTAATACCAAAAAAATGTTAATTTTATTTATAAAAAAAATATGTTTTTATGACAAAGTTTCGTACGACTTACATAACCTTATTGAGATAACTGATTCATTTTATTTTCAGTAGTAATTTATGAAAACATTTAGTTTATCATCAAAATAAACTCTTCAATATAAAAACAAAGTTGTCATAAAATAATTTAAATTTTCTATTTTCTTAAAAAAAAAACCATTTAAATGCATATTATATGGATAAAACCTTACTAAATATTACTCTTAGGCAATTAAGAAAAGTATAGCAATCCGACATACATGAAAAATAGAAAAAAACAAGTATTGTCTTACATTAAAATTGTAGAATGTTGTCATGTATATTCAAATAGAATGAGTTAACGATTCCTTATTTGGAAACTTCGATAAAAAAGAATAAATTTAGTTGGCTTTTTTTTCTAACTCTTGAGAAGTAAAATAGTTATTAAGGAAAAGCAAGTAAAGAATATTATAGACGAACTTCTACTTAAAATAATAATGTTGAATAGGCACAATAAAACTTTATTATGAATTGTCAAATAGCATGCTTCATTAAAGGATTAGCTGCATAGTTGCAGCTTACATGAATTACTTAAGAGAATGTGTCGAAGTCTGTGGACTTTGAGTTTATTGTTTGATCATCTATATTCATTTCATCAGGATATAAAGTAGATTTTGGAGGTATTTCGAGGTCTTCAATATTTCCTTCAAGCATTTTTACCACTCTATTCATTGAGGGACGATTATTTGGTTTCAATTGTATACACCAAAGTGCAACTATGATCATCTTCTTTGTTATTTTCTTTTCCTCTTCAGTCAAATCTTGTATATCTATATCTTCCTCTTCTCTAATACGATCATAGATCCAAAATGGAAAGTAAATTTGACTTGATCTATCCGCATGAGGATTTAGGTTCTTCCTCTTGCTTGCCATCTCCATCAAAAGCATTCCAAAACTATAAACATCAGCCTTATGAGAAATTCCTCCAACATTATTGTAGAACAATTCTGGAGCCATATATCCAATGGTTCCTCTTGCTGCAGTCACTGAGACAATGCTGTTTTCTACTGGATATAACTTTGCCAATCCAAAGTCGGAAATCTTTGGGATAAAGTTTTCATCTAGTAAGATGTTATGTGGTTTGATATCAAAATGCAAAATCTTCATCTCACATCCATGATGAAGATAAGAAATCCCACGAGCCACTCCAACTGATATATTGTATATCTTTTCATAGCTTAATTGTGCACTTCCTTCTTTTGAAAATATAAGTTTATCAAGAGAACCATTGGACATCAATTCATACACAAGAGCGCGCTTTGAGCCACTAACACAAAATCCAATTAACTGTACCACATTTTGATGATGTATTCTTCCAATGGTTCCAACTTCATTGATAAAATCTTGTCCATTTCCTTTGGATCTGGATAACATTTTGATTGCCACAGAAGATCCACTGCGCAACTTTCCCTTAAACACAGAGCCAAATCCTCCTTCACCTAACTTCTCTTTGAAACTTTTCGTCATCTTCTTAATTTCCTTGTATGAGTATCTGATAGGTGCTAACTGATTGTGTTCAAGGTAATTTTCAATATTTTCAAACATTGATGCACGTCTTTTCCTCCATTTACATATCACAAGTGCAACAATCAGTGGCACCCCAAACACAATTTTGCAAGCCCATGCCATGATGATAAGTAGGGAAATTCCTGTAACAACACTTTTTTTTGGTAAATAAACATCATGATAGGTAAAGAACAATTTCATTACATACTAAATTTAGAATGGAATAATGTATTAATTTTAAAGAAAAAAAATCCATTCAGCATATTAAAAAACAAACTTAAATTTGATATTGTACGCATTCCTTTCCTATGCAAGATTGCAAAAGAAAAATCTCTAAAGCAAGTATATAAGTCGGTTGAAGATAATATATTTAAGTAAATTGTATTAACTATGCATAAAACAAATTAACTACACTAAAAAATATGGCATTACCAATCCGTCGAAAAGAATCAAAATTTGTCAATAATAATAATTATCAACGAATTCTCAATGATTTATATGCGTTGAAAAAAACTCTATCGGTACTAATTATTGACGGATATTAATCATCGGTAATTACCAAAGGATAATAATTACCAAAGTATATATCCTTCGATGAGTTCGTTGGTAATGGTTGAGGCAGATTTGTCCATAGTTCGGTATAATATATATAAAACTAATTTATACCTCGTTTGTGTTTTTCTTAATGCAAAAACTTGGACAATTGTTTGTTCTTATTTTCTGCTAGCTCTTTGTACCATTCTTAACTACATCTCACACATCTTGAGATTCAAAAAGAGTCTTCATCTGCATATTCCAATTATCAAAGTTGACTTTCTTTGTCAATTGAGGTAATGACACATGGTTAACAAGGTTGGCCATCTCTCACTCTTTCTTTTTCAAACACTCAAATGCTCAAATTTTCTCTAGGTCTTTTCACTCGAACGACTCTCAAGTTATGATGCCAATTTGTTAGTAAAATGAAATTCACTTAGAATTATTTGAATTTGCTTATGTGTGTCCTACATTGAATCTCAATTAGACACTTATAGTTTATAGACTTACATTTGACTTTTCATTTCCAATCCATAAACTCTACCGCTGAGACTCCATTAGTACCTATTATTGCCTAATACTCCCTAATACTCCCTGCATTAAACTACTTACCCTTGTACTCCAAAACTGACAAATCTCCTAAACAAATAAATAACCCATTTACTTCTCTTACATTTAAGTTTATCCTAATAACTTTATGAGATTTATGATGTTTTGGACAGTAGATTCAATTTTTTCACTGGTGTTATTGGTGATGCAATTGGAGTTTTTCATTTTTACAGTTTGGCATCTGAATCTGAAAAAGGAGATAGATTAAAGAAAGCGGTTAAAATCTATCCTAAAAAAGGAAAACTTCCACCTTAGCAAACAAATACCCACCCCTTTCAATTATGTTTTAAGTTTCCCTCTATCGTTAGCCAATTTAACTATATTAACAAATGAGACCATATTAAATCAATTTTAATAAATATAGGAATTAAATTAAATATAAAAAATAATCATTGATCTCAATCTAAATATAAGAATTAAATTATTAATTAAATCATTATATTATTATGAAATCATTCACTAATATGATTTCGTATACTACGAATTTTTTTTATATTTTGGGTTTGTTATTTTTACTCTTTTTAGAGTTTTTTTTGCTAGTTTTGATATCTCAGAAATTTTTTGGAAAGTTCATGTTGTATTTTGGGGATTGCACAACACACCATGGATAAATTCTTAAGGACAATGGATCTACACACCTCAGAAAATTTTGTTCGTGATTGTTGTCAATATTTTACAATAATCTTGAGGACTTATGGTTGATACCAACATCGCAAACCTACAGAGTCAAATAATTGTTTCTAAAACTTAGATGGTCTTCGCAAAACCTTTTCCAGATGTGTCAAAAATCGAAGTCTTCTCTGATTAGAATTTCTAGTATTGGCAAGAACGTGTGTCTATCCTTTTATACATCTATAAAGTTTCTTTTGCTCTTTCATCTCCAAAACCTGACTTTAGTCTAACTTCAAATTCAAAACAAGTTGAATATTTGATTCATGCAAACAAGGTATGCAGACATACTTTACTTAGTGCACTTTCTAATGATTTATGTTATGTGTATTGTTTCTATAAGGAAGCAAAAGACATTTTGATTCTCAAATACACTGTTGAAGATGTCGTCAGACAAAAATTCATCATTGGGAATTACTACCACTGGCATATGATTGAAGATAAGGATATAAAGTCTCAAATTAATTAGTATATCAAAGAGAATAACATTCTTCTACCCGATGAATTTGTTTTAGAACTTCTGATCGAGAAATTATCGTCATCTTGGACTGATTATAAACAACAGCTGAAAGATAGAGACAATCATATGTCACTTCCAGAGCTCATCATAGACATAATTATTGAAAATACCAATAGAAAAGAGTGTGTTACTGTAAGGGCCAAAGCTTTGTTTGCAAAAGCAAATATGATAAAAGACATATATGCTCTAAAAGGATATGAACACAAACCTGATCACAAAAGAAAAAATAATTTTCAAAAATCTCACCCTAATGGATCTAACCCCACTTCTAGAAAGAAAGGAAATTGTTTCATGTGTGGAAAATCAGACGCACCACAATGCAGACGTAGAATAAGAAACGACAATCCTCCTAGAGTAAATATAGATGAAGGAGATGATATTATTACTATTGTCTTTTTAAGTAAATTTGATGACCAATGTGAGCAAGTAAGTGGTAGACTTTGGTGATACCAGACATGTTTACGCAAATAAAAGTTCCTTTACCTCCTACACTAGTGTAGGGAGTGGAGAAGAACATGTTTACCTTGGTGATTCCAAGACAACTCGTGTGATGGAAAAAGGGAAAGTTCTTCTCAAGCTCATATTTGGAAACACTCTAGCCTTGAATGATGTGTTACGTGTGCCATCAATCAGAACTAATTTAATCTTTGTAGCATTATTGAAAAAAATAGGGGTTAAAGTGTCATTCAAGTCTAACAAGATTGTAATAGCAAAAGATAATGTTTTTGTGGAGAAGGAATATTGTGATCAATGTTTCTTTGTACTCAAATTTTTTGAAAATATTAATAAATCTTGTTCTTCTGCTTATATTGTTTATTCACATGACAAGTGACATGCTAGATTAGGACATGCGAATTCCTCATATGTTATAAAATTACAACGACCACTAGTACAAAAATAACATATAATGTCACGCGTTCAACATCAACCACTGAATAACCAACGTTAAAAACGAGCGGTGACATTTTTGTAAATAAATGCAATTATTAAACGTCATTTAGAATTGTAATTCGACGTAAAATGATATGTCGAATGGCTTTTAAATTCGACGTCAAAAGGTTAGTGAATTCAATAAAAATTTGAGCGGGAGATTGAAAATTCATTCACTTTATCTTTGCTTGCGATACCCTCTTCTCTTCTCAAACTTTTCTCGAATTAAGTTTGACTAGCATCACATGTAATCTTTCTTTCATTTGATACAACATGTTAATTAATTACTTTTTGTATGATTTTTGTTTGTTTTAACCGATTATTTTCGTGTTCTTGTCCTTTATAAGCGCATTATGTTTTTTCTCTCACTATAACGAAACTTTATTTCAACGAACCCACTTTTTGAAGTTAGTTTTCGTTTTCGTTTTGAAGAACTTATTTGTTGAACTTGTTTTTTTTTTTGTTGAACTTGTTTGTTGTTGTTGTTTAGTTGAACTTGTTTGTTGTTTTTGTTTAGTTGAACTTGTTTGTTGTTGATTATTATTGTTTGTTGTTGATACTACACTACACGTTCATAGTTCATGCTTTATAAAATACTAAACTAAAATTTGTTGTTTTTTTACTTTTCAAGTCTTGTAGAATTGTAAAAAAGGATCACAATTAATTAAAAAAAATTGATTAACGTCGAATATTGACAAAATTTGACATTAATTTAACGTCGTATACTAATAAAATTCGATGTTAAGTTAACGTCGTATATTAACAAAATTTGACGTTAATTCGGCGTAAGTTCAACGTCTCCTGATATGACGTTGTTCGCGAATTCGCTGTTAAAAGCCCAAAATATTCGACGTTGTACGCGATTTTTGTACTAGTGGACTAAGATTATTTAATATATATGATAAACGGATTAGTAAATGTCACATATGATTAGTATCTAAACTAACAAAGAAAACATGTTATTTCCTAGATCGTCAAGCTGAATTGTTAGGGTTAATTATACAGATCTAGTTGATTTAAAACAAACCATGTCTAGAGGCTGTAAAAGTAATTTTGTAACCTTTATAGATGATTATTCTATGTACACCAAAGTCTACATAATCAAATATAAAGAGGAAGCCTTCAATGTGTTTCTAACATATAAAGAAGAAGTAGAAAATCAACTAAATAAGAGAATTAAGAGGATTAGATCAGATAAAAGTGGTGAATATGTATTGTTTAATGAATTTTGTGTTAAAGAAGGTATGGAAATGATGAATGTCATGTTTATTAGTTCTAGTGCACCTAATAACCTTTAGGGAGAAACCCTACTTACTACTTGTTTTTTACAAAATATAATACCTCATAAGAAAACTAGTAAAACTCTTTATTAGTTGTGGAAATGTTATCAACCTCACCTTAAATATCTAAGAGTATGGGGGTGCCTAGCTAAGGTGATGTTACCCAATCCTAAGAAAAGGAAAATAGGCTCTAAAACCTTTTCTTGCATGTTCTTAGACTATGTTGAACATAGTGTTGTCTATAGATTTATATATGCTTGAGAGTAATTATATGGTGGAGAAGAAAATTGTTGAGTTTTCTGAACTTGTAATTTCCTTAAAGGTTAGTGAGACGTCTGAACTTGTTGATAATAATAATAGTGATGCCTTGTGTGAGAATTTAAGAAGAAGTAAAAGACAGAGGGAGGAAACTTCCTTTGGTAATGCTTTTTATACTTATATAATTGATAATTATCTAACTAGCTTTGTAGAAGCTATTAGTTCTATTGAGGCAAAACAGTAGGGTAAAGCCATTAGGACTGAAATTGAATCAATTCAGAAAAATAATATTTTGACCTTAGTAGATTTTCCTAATGGAGCAAACCCCATAGGTTGTAAGTGGATCTTTAAGAAAAAGTATCACCATAATGGATCTATAGAGAATTATAAGGCATGATTAGTTGCAAAAAACTTTACTTAAAAACCTAACATAAATTATTTTGATACCTTTGCCCTTATGACTAGGATTTCCTCCATTCAAGTGTTGTTAGCCTTACCAGTTATCCATAAGCTAGTGATACACCAAATGGATGTTAAAATTACCTTTTAGAATGGTGATTTGGAGGAGAAAATTTATATGACTCAACCTAAAGAGTGTGTTGTACTTGGTCAAGAGAATAAAATATGCAAACTCTTAAAATCCTTATATGGATTGAAACAAGCACCAAACTGATGACATGAAAAACTTGATAATGTATTACTATGTGATGGTTTTTCACCTAGTGATGTTAATAAATGTGTGTACTCTAAATCTGAAAATGGTGATTGTGTAATATGTTTATATGTGGATGACATGTTAATTTTTGGTACATGCAATGAGATTGTTGCTAGAAATAAATTGTTCCTAGGATCGAACTTTGAAATGAAAGACATGGGTAAAGCCAATGTAATTTTAGGTGTTAAAATCATAAGGAAGGGAGATAGTATATTACTATCCCAAAAACAATACATTAAGAAACTTCTTAAGAAGTTTGCGTATTATGACTTCAAACCTATGAGTACCCCTTATGATGTTAACTCTAAATTAATGAAAACTATAGGAGTATTTATATCTCAACCTTAGTATGCTTATATAATTGGAAGCTTATTGAATTTGATGAGTTTTTCTAGACTTGATATTGCTTATGTAGTATATAGACTGAGTAGGTACTTTTAATGTCTAAATCAAGAACACTAGGATGCACTTGCAAAACTTATGAGATACTTAAGAGGTTCAATGGATTTTGCCATTGAATATAATGGATTTTTCATTGTACTAAAAGGGTACAATGATGCCAACTAGATCTCTGATTCATATGAAACAAAATCCACTAGTGTGTATTCACACTTAGGGTAGATGCGATTACATGGAGATCAGCTAGGCAAACAATTATTGCAAGATCAACAATGGAATATGAGTTTATTGATCTTGAGATGGCTGGTAGTGAGGCTGACTGTTTGAAAAACTTTTTAGTGAACATTCCACTAGAAATGAAACCAATAGCATCGGTATTAATACACTGTGATTGCCAATCGACAATAGCTATAACTAAAAACAAAAATTACAATGGAAAGAACAAACATATACAATTGAGACACACTTTACTAAAGTAGCTACTAAATAGTGGAACTATTTCCCTTGGTTATGTGAAATCAGAACGAAATCTAACAAATGCTCTTACTAAATCCTTGGGAAGAAATATGATGTTAGAAACATTGAGGAGAATGAGACTTAAGCCACTTACAAACAAACAATTGATGGTAACCCAACCTTTGTGATTGGAGATCCCATGAAAAAGGTTCATATGGGTAAAAACAAAGTCACACTTGTTAGTTTTGATAACACTAATTTGATTTTAAATCAAATATATCAATTCCTATGGTGTGCGAAAGTGCTAGAGACTGCATTATTGAGAGGTTAAACTTTGTAATTAAAATTCTATATGCTAAAAGAATTTTAGTTTAAAAAAAGCTTTTAATGATTTTCATATTCCTTACAAGTGGTGTATGATTTGTAGCATACACTTGATGAAATCACCAATATGAGTGTTGAGTAGGGCAGCTTTCATATGATCTTGGTATGATCTCTAGAGTACCCATGAATACTGAACACACGTTTGACCTACTAAGTGCATCACAATGATAACAGTAAGGATTGTGGGGTAATATTGTGATTGATAAATGTCTAACACACGTCAAGTTCTTTGGTTCATATAACTTGTTATACCAAGTGCAGTGTGTGTTAAGTTTCTCAATCTAGAACTAGTTCATGTAGTTTGCTATATCAACTCTAATACATTACATCATTTGAAATCCAGAATATTTCTTTTTTATCTCTTTAGTTAATGTTTTATCTTTTGCAATATGTGAGAGATTGTTATAAACAGTATTGCAAAACTCGTTCTGGAAAAAGTTGAGAAACATTGCTAGATGAACGTTTTTCTTTCTCCTTGGTCAATTCTCCTCCCACAAGACTCGAGAGTTAGCGAAGCCGTTTCGGGCAGTTTCTTCAGCAAGATCTGCATCTTGGGCCATTCATCACTCTATAAGTAGTGCTTTTGTGGTTATTCCAAAACACCCAACTTTCTCTCGTTCTCCTACTCTCTTATTCTCTTTTTTTCTAATTTCTTTCTTATAATATTCTGGATTTATTTTTTCTACTATTTTTAGAGTTTGTTACTAGTTTGATATCCTAAATTTTTTTTAATAAAATTCTTATTGTAACATAGAGAGTTTACACAATACACTAGAATAAATCCTTAAAGAACCATAAATCTATACCCTCACACAAAATTTTGTTCATAATTTTTTTCAATATTTTACCACATGTGTGAGAGAGAAAAAATACAAGAAAACTTATAACATAAGAGACTAGCAGTGTTAACATTATGTAATTTATTACCCTACAAAAAATGTTTAGTGTCAGCCAAAAGTTAATGCTAATAATTAAAAGCTGACATTAACTAAGAAATAGCATCATATAGTGAACCCTAATACTATGTACACTAGTGTTGATTTTAAGGTCAACTATATGTATCACTTATTTTAAAATTGATTTTGACTAGAACAGTTTAGTGTTTGACTTGTTCTTATTTTAAAATTGATTGAGTTTAGAGATAGTTGAGCCGATTAAATGAAATCTATTTGAATATTAATTTAATTTTGTTGATGTAACTGACATTAATGATAATAATTAAAAAAAAATTGTCGTAGAACACCTCCATATTCAACAAAGTACATGAATGATATGTGTGTCATGAAGGACCTATGTGTAGAATAAAGAAATGAATATAAATAAAGGACTCAATGGCGCTATATGTTTTCTTAAACAAAATTATGTTTGACCTATAGATGTAAATATTGATCATTTATTTACAAAATTGTTATCCTATATTTTTTATGTCTATTGCCTACATGTTATAGTCATAAATTTAGTAACGTAAATAGCAATTTCTGTGTGTTAGTGAGTGTCTAACATTAAACGCTATTAACGTCAACTATACCAATACTAATACAAATTTTTTATTTATTAAAAGACATGGGAATGTATTAAATTTTTTTAGTAAATAAGTTAAACCAATTAATTATACAAATGGAGTTATAATACATCCCAATTTTGGGAAGGAAAGTGTTTCATAATGGTATGGTGCAAATGATAAAGAAAAGTGTAGGAATGTCAAAATTATACTACCAAGAGATAGATGTGATGCATTACTTGAAAGTACACAGTAAATTTTGGAAAGGATTATTTATGACCAATGTTCTTCATGAGAATGGTTGATTGGGTCACAACCCATTTAGAGTCATGGATGAGAGCCATACTTGACTAAAGAGAAATTGAAATGTTTAAAAGAGGTAAGTTGAGGGTTGGAACAATAAACATTTCAAGAAAGATTGTTGGAAGTCTCATATTGACTAGAGATAAGGCTAAATTATAATATATAAGTGTGGTACAAACCTCATCATACAAGCCGATTTTGTGGAGTTTAGTTAGGCTTAAAATCACTTTCTAATATAGTATCAGAGTCATGTTTAGAGTCTATCTTAGCGAGATCTATGTGGGCATTCTGTTCCACTCGTTTTCAGGCCACTATCGGACCACCCATTAATTTTACTCTCACGCTCCAGATGTCTATACCTCAGCGTGAAGGAGGTGTATTGGAAGTCCCACATTGACTAGAGATAAAGCCAAATTATAATATATAAGTGGAGTGCAAAGCTCACCATACAAGCCGGTTTTGTAGACTTGAATTAGACTTAAAACCACTTTCTAATAAAGATATCAAAAGATTAAAAAAGTTATAAATAATCTCAATAAGAGCATGGACTTGTAAGAGAAATTTTAGAATAGATGCTGTGTAGGCTTATCACTCACATCATTATTAAAGATACTAATAGAAAGGAATTTGTAATTATGAGGCGAAGACATTTGTGATAAACAAATATGGCAGATGATAAATAAACTCGAAAAAAGTTCGAGAAACAACCTAATCGAAGAAAAATAAATTTAAATTTTATCATTTTAATATATACTAACTTCACAATTCAAGAAGAAAGAAACCTGTTCTGTTCTGTTTAGGAAAAGTTACGTCGTCATACACCTCAATGCAAACGAAGAACGGCAATTCTCTTAAGAAGTATGTTGACGGAAAAAAATACAATTTCTACAATTTTTTCAAATAAACATTGTGACAAATGCAAAAAAATAGATGATAAACTCTTGAACTATCACCTATTTGCCAACATTATTATTCCATAAAAGACATTATAAAAAATCAATTAAATATAAAAATACTCTAAAGTATTAAGTAATGGCATTATTCATCATTTATTACCCTCTTTATGTTACCCGTACACATATTATTATTATTATTATTATTATTATCAATATAGTTAAAAACATAGGTAAATTAAGATGATAAGATATTCTTACTTGATGCCTGGAGTGTCAGCTCTTCCAGTATACCTATATATCACCCCAAAAAAGAAAGAAATATAAATTTCAGAATACTGTTGATCACGACTACTATTCTACCAAGAATTCTATTTGCCTAATTTCATAAAGCTATGATGAATGAAGTTTTCTTTACAGAAGCTCGAGTTCTACAAGTACAGGTAAAATATAAACCTAAAAATTATTTGAATAAATAGAACAAAGTTTCATCAATAATCATGAACTTGAAATAAAGATAAATATGTATGTCTGAAATTTGGTTTAGGATATCTCACCAAAGCATTTGAACTTCTGGCTAGAATAGTCGAAATAGCAACTGCTTTGTGAGAGTGGACAATGTTTATGACAGGCGAGTTTCAGCCATGAAATCTCAAATCCATAGGCCAATCCCCTGTGCATGGAATTGTAGGAATGGTTATTCAAAGTTCTCAAAGATGTTGGAGCAACAAGCTTTACGTCACACCCAACTTCAAAGTCCTCAGCTTTTAGGTCACCACCAACTGCATATGCATAGCCCTTGGAATCCCACTTCACGCACTCTCCAGTCTCCACATACTTCTCATTCTCTCTCACTGAATGGTTACAATTCAAAAACACTATATGCTCGAAACTCAGAGATTCCCAATTACGATAATCTCTTAAACCAACTTGGTATAGATCCGTGGGGTAAGTGTAAGTATCAGAGAAATTGGAGCGAGAGAGAGAACGGAGAGGAAGGGAGGAGCAGTTGTGGTGTTGAATTGTAGGGTCAACCACTCTGACGGTGTAGTTGTTGTAGTTGATGGCCTGAACATGGAATTGTGCAGAGTTCAGATACAACACCGTAACATTATTTTCACAACGAAGCTCGTAACTTTCCTTACCGCACTTCTCTGGGTCGCCTTTAAATCGAAATGGATAAGTGATGTTGGTGATGTTGCCACAGGAAGAAGGAAGACAACCACCATGACTTCTGTGTACTAGAAGTAGCAGTACCACCAACGATGTTGTCTCTCTCCACATCTTGTCCAAACTGTTTCTGATAGAATCGAATTTGGATTTGAAGTCATACAGATCATAGTTATATTTAAAGAAACATAACATGACATTTAACAACTTTTAACAACTTTTTTATAATATATATTGAAACGGAAACTACCACGTAAATGATTGTTAGAAAGTTATCAAAAAAACATTTGCAATATTTAAAACAACACAGACTGTCACTATATATATATATATATATATATATATATATATATATATAAATAAGTGGACACAACATTGACGCGTTGATCCCTTTTCTATCTGGTTTCCACTAATGATTTTAATAAAACAAATGTTTAATTACTTGTGTTAAGTATGGGAATCATTTACGAATTTTTATTCTAAAGTGTTCGTTTATTAGGGTCTCAGTGTGTAGCTTTTAATTGAAATTTAGAGTTTTCTAGAGAAAATTTTGGGCCTTTTATACTTTCATACTTATTATTCTACCAATTTTAAAGTGTCAAAAGTAACTTTATCATATAGAAAATGGGTAATTTGGAATCCAACTTAATTTTGTATTAAATGAGGTCGGTTTAATTTTTAAATGGATTGTAAATTCTTTTACTTCACTCGTTGTCAATTAGTTATTATTACAAAAAAAAAAATCTACTGTTACCAACTATCATAATTTATCGATGATAAATGAAATCTGTAGTAAGTCTTGTTTATCGATAAATCACTAACGGCATAGTATTTGTCGATGTATAATTTGGTTATCAATAAAATTTATTGACATATTTATGAAATCTTTGGATATCAACGACATATGTTTATTCGTTAAGTTTATATTATCACAGACATTTGGCTTCAACAATGACTTTTGGTAATAATTAAATTATCGAAAAAATTTCTGTCAATAACTATATTATACAGCTAATGTAAATATTTTTATTTTCTATACTAAAACAAAACCTACCAATAATATACACAGTATCAAATAAAAATTATATATTATAAATTATTAAACTAATAATATTATATAATAAAAACTCCTACATAAAATATCCTAATAATAAAAACTCTTAAGAACGAAAACTTCTAATTTGCATCAAAACTCCTATTATTAGAAACTTAAATATTATCAACTAAAACTTCAATAGTATTACCTTGTTTTAATTTAAAATAGAAAAGTTAATTTCATCTTAACATTAATACACATAACTTTAAAGCTTTAGAAAAAAGTTTGATGACTAATGATGGTTAGAACGTAAACTTTGACCCGGAAACCTATATCTGGTTTTCCACTACTGATTTTAATACTCGTTTAAGTGCGCGTGTTCTTGTTTAGGTATTTCATCGTCAAACTCTCTCTTTCGTTTTACTTACACTATCTCCTTTCAACAAGTGATTGATAAATAATATTTATTGACTTGTTTTTCATAAATAATGCCCCTCGTCTATTTTTTTTTTCTTTTCTTTTTTTTCTTTTTTCCAATTTTCTAATTTTAAAGAAATAGTTAGTCTCATAATTGTTGTTGTTTGGTTGACATATAAAGACAAGTCTTCCAGTAAATATTTTCATTAGTTTTTTAATAAAAAATTTACTTTTATTTTTATTTTTAATGACTCTTGTTTCGGTACGTAGGGTCGAGAACTACACATCCACACTTTCCGTCACTTTCTTGGCCTAGATTGTCTTTCCTTACACATCCACAATTTACGTTGATTCAAAAGTTATAAAAGATTGAACGATCGATCACTTTTGGTAATACGTCGATCATGCGGTCTATACAGTAAAACTCTTGAAATAATAATTTTCATTAGTAGAAGTGACAATAACTATTAAATTTACATCATTTTGTCTTCATAGTTTTGTTGTCTTGAACTACCCTTTTAACGATGAAATATTATTTTAACAACAGTTGACATGAATCATAGTCTAAAGTGACATAAATTGTTGTCTTCGTATAGTAATTTGTTGCCATATTTTTTTTAGCTATATTTGTTTTATTGATTTCTATACACAAACATTTAAAAATAATTGTAACTTATAATAGCATTTCTCATCGTCACAAATCAGTTCACAAACAATTATGAAGAAATAGTCCAACACTATTTTAAATTAATAAATAATGGTCAATTTCAAAAATGTCTAATGCTATAAATTATAAAAAGCTGTCTTCAAATTTTGAAAGTATGTAGTAATGTATAAAAATATTGTATATGCAGAAACAATGAGCAATGAACCATAAACATCGTCATACTTGTCAATTATCCTAAAGCGTTATGAATTTTATCAAAGTACATTATTATTCACATGCTTTTAATGTAGTTTAGTGATTTTGAGTCCAAAGGTGTTGTGCATCAATGAAAAACTACAACATTCGCAAATGCAAGTTATATCAATAATAAATTTATATTGAATCTTAAAATGTATATTTCCCTTACTTTATTTCAACTTCTTTATATTCCATATCGAACAAATAAATTGTATTGCGTAATACAATGGTGGAAAAAGGATAAATTATATCGTATATTTAACGTCTGACCATGCAAAATGTAATGTAAAAAAATATGCCATTTTGAAATTGAAATAACTCTGTTTACTTTTAGGTTATCTGACGTAAATTTCAAAAATTTATGTTAAGGTACTCTTAGTTTGACATAAATTTTAAATCAATGTAGGACTCGTAAGGAGTCTAACGTAAAATTTGATTAAATTTTATGTATAACTTTTTCTTTCTTGTGATTTCGTCATTTTTTTTACTTCTTTTTTGGCAGTGGCAGGAACAACCTCCTTACTCATGACATAAATGGCCTTATTCTTCCATCTTTATAAGTGATTTTGCATGTAATTTTTTTTTATTGAATTTTAGTTTAGTGTTCTTCATTAAAGTTAGTGGTTTAAATCATCATTTTAAATTTTGTTTTTAAAATTGATATTGCAATCGTTTTTTACAAAAGGGTTAAATATGTTTTTAGTCCCTAAACTATTGATCATTTCTGGTTTTCGTCCCTCTTCCAAAGTAAGGTACAATTTAGTCCTCAATCTTTAAAAAACGTTCGTTTTAGTCGAAAAAACGAACGTTTTAAGGACTAAAACGAGGACTAAAAACAAAATTTTGAGGACTAAAACGAACGTTTTTCTAAAGAATGAGGACCAAATTGTACCTTACTTTGGAAGAGGGACGAAAACCAGAAACGGCCAATAGTTTAGGGACTAAAACATATTTAACCCTTTACAAAACTCAATCCCGAAAATGTATCAATAATGTAACACACGAAAAACTCTATAAAGAGTGGAGTTTGAACAGAGTTTTTAAAATTTTTCGCAAGTGTTTAATTTTTTTTTTGCAAGAATTAGAAGGTCTAGAATAAATGTTAAACAATTAAGTATTTCTAAGAGCATTTAGGAACACTTTTAAATGAAAAGTAAGACAAGTTTATTTTTATATTAGTTCGCTCCAAATTAAGTTAGGTATAGTTCTCCCTTAAGCACTCTTAAGGGGTTTTACTAATATTGAAATATTAAAACACGAGTCTAACCACTCCTAGTTTTACAACTAACACAACTGGTTAGAACGAGTTTCACCACTTCTTGTATAAATCTAGTCTAACTGACTAAAACGTTTAATTTCACTGAGTTAAACTTACAAGTATTTGAATTCACTTTTGAATCTAAAATCAACAAAGTGTTTTTTAAAATATGAGAACAAAATATAATTGTAGTAGAGAGGATATGAAATAAATACAAATTAGTTCTAAAAACTTGTAAAGAAAACTTTCTTTGTCAAAGAAAGAGTCTTATATGACGTAAGCTTAAAGAGAAAACAACATTGTAAGCGTTTGCAAAGATAATTATGGTTATTTTGTTACTCACACTAGTAAAAAAAAGAGGTTTTTAACTCGCACATTACGCTTCGGTTTCAAAAAAATGAAACGTATCAAAACACGGTGGCAATTTCGTAATTTTTGCGAAACTATATGTCTCGGTTCAATTGGAACCGATGCCTAAAGGGTATATTGCCTCGGTTCTCTGACCAACCGAGGCAAAAAAACTTTGCTTTCCTTCTGCCAGCTTTTTCAAAATAGGCTTATTGCCTCGGTTCTGTGCAGAACCGAGGCAATATGTCCTGCCAAAAGCTGACAACCTCTGTATCTAAACGTTTCAAATCAATTTTGTTAACCTTTACTGTCTCGGTTCCATTTGAACGGATGTCATAAGGCATTTATGCCTCGGTTTAACCGTAAACCAATGCCTATAGTTTTTTTTTTGCCATTTATAATTTTTTTTTGAATTTTTTATGATAGGTTTAGGCATCAATTGTCTTTAAAACCGAGGCAGTAGAGCCTTATTACCTCGGTTGTCTACTTAACCGAGGTAATAGCTTCTTCGATTTTTAAATTTCAGACCTTTCATTCTCCCCTTTCATTCTCCCCTTCCACAACCTTCTCACCACCACCATCCTCAACTCCCACCAAACAAACTTAACCTCAGACTCATCATCCTCAACTCGCTCTGTCGCCACTGCCTCCAACACCGGTCACCGCTATTGCCTCCATCGTTGGTCGTCACCGTTGCCTCCATCATTGGTCGTTACCGCTGCCTCCACCGTTTGTCGTCACCACTACCTCCACCGTTTGTCGTCACCACTGCCTCCACCACCGAACGTCGCCACTGCCTCTACTTCTCTCACGCGAACTACGTTGTTCGTTGTCGCCTTTGGCTGTACGTCGTCGGCACCAGTTGTTTGTCATCGTCTTAGGTCGTTCATCATCGCCTTCATCCATTCGTCGTCGCCTTCGGCCGTTCGTTGTTGCCTTTGGTTGTTTTGTCGCCGCCTCCGTTGTCCCAAATGAAAAAGAAAAAGAAAATATTTTGAAAAGCAAAAGTCCCTATTTTCTGAAGAAAAAAAAAGGCATCTACCGCCTCGGTTCGAAACCAACCGAGGCAAAAAACTCACACATACTGCCTCGGTTCTGAACCGTTTTTGCCTCGCCTATGTATACCTCAGTTCAGGAACCGCGGTCATAAACCCAAAACAACCGAAGCAATAGCCCT